TGGAAAGTACAATGCCCCAGGAAGCGCTCAAGCATCACGCCTGTGATCCTCGGACGGCGCGCAAGCCAGCGGCCCGCGGCGGCCAGGCGGGTGGCCCTCTTGGCGGTGGGCCCCACCTCGCCAGTCAAGCCGTCGATGGCGAAGCCGAGGCTCTCGGCCCAGAGGGAGGCGTCCTCCTCCTCGTGCACTGCGAAGCCGTCGGCCGTGAGCTGGCGAGCCACTGCGATGCGGGCGCCGTCGGCAAGCTCCGGGGAGCCCGCCCCAGTGGCATGGTTGTCGCAGTAAGGCAACGACACGAGGCCGCGGGAGCCGATCGTCGGGCCAGGCTGGCGATCCTGTAGTACCAGTCCTGCGGTGTCCGGAAGCACCCCCTTGACGACGGAGGAGTGGACGATCTGCGCCAGATAGAAGCTCCAGCTGAACCCCATGGGAAGCACTCGGAAGGCGGGCGCGACGGCGTCGCGCCCGTAGAAATGGCTAAAGCGGCTGTCGTTGCCCTCCAGCTCGGAGACGAGCCAACCTGGGACGTCGTCGAGGCAAAAGTAGCTGGAGAGGTCATCGTCGATGCCGCAGGCGTAGAAGTAGTCCTTGATGTCTGACAGGCTCACCCAGAGGTCGGCGTCGTCCTCCAGGAGAATCTCTCCCCAGCTCGACCCGGTACCCATAGGCAAATAAGGGCACCGCCGGAAGCGCCTGTTGGTGGCACGGCAGCCCACCACGAGCCTCTGCTTGCCCGTCTTCTTGGCCACAAAGAAGACCGCGACTCGTCCACGTACCAAAGGCGCCCAGCGGATAAGGCCTGCCGAATGACAATCTCGGACAAACTGAAAATAGGTCTTCTTGGAGTAGCGAAGCTTCGGATCCATGTAGAGTTTGATGGGATCCGCCCTTTCACACACGGCGCCCCACTCTTGATCGTCGAGCAGAATGTTGTTCAGGTCCTCGAGACAACAGCGAACCTTCGGCGGCAGCATCTCCTTAACAGGGGCGGGCTCCGCCCCCACGTGGGGGATGCTGAGAAGGTTCCGGTCGTAGGACTGCACCAAGGTCGACTCGCCACCGCGCGCGGAGTCTGTCCCGAGGAGCGCGCGCGCGGCTCCCTCGGAGCCGTAGTCACCTTGCGGCGGCTCGGCTGCGTCATGCACTGAACGAATGAATTGAATGGCCTCCCGCTGACACAGCGAGGGCGGGGAAGATGACGGCGTCAGATGGCCATCGAGAGCATTGAGAGCCTTGATCGTGCGATTGACCTCGGCATCCACAGCACTCCGCTTCAAAACTCGTCGCTGCACCGAGCGACTCACGCTGTGATCTTGAAGACGTTCGACCTCGAGCTCAGGAAGAGGGAAGAGGTCACGGGGAACTTGCACAGGTAGGCGGGGCCCCTTCTCATACTTGAACCCAGCCGCCGGAGTCCCAGAGGGAGCGACTGGGTCCTGCGAGCTGGTCATGGCCCCCCTGCGCCGGAGCCGCCGGCGCCCCCGTCTCCCTCTCCGCCGCCCTTACCGCCGCGGCCACGGCCTTTCGGCTTCCGGAGACGGATCTCCTCCTCGAGCTTGCGACCCTCCTTCAGGACTGCTGCCCGATCTCGAGCTGCGTCGGCGGCCCGCTTCTTAATAGACGGCGCCACCAAAGCGGCACCACGCTGAATGCCCCAGCCCATGAAGTCGTCCGAATTGCTGTAGTCGGGGTTGCTGGGGTTGTACACGTGAGCCTGCTCGATGAGCTGCAGGCGTCGCCCGAGCAGCTCGAAAGAGGTCAAAGTCATCGTGTTCAACTGGTCCAGCTCGATCGCGAGGTCGAAGACCTTGGAGATCACGAAGTGCCCGTGGATGCTGCGGTCGCCGCTCGGGATGCCGCTAGCCGCTAGCCAGGTGTGGTGGCGCGTCACCATCCCCTCGGAGGACTGGGCCACTTCGGTGAGCAGCCACGGGAGGCTCACATCACCTTGCAGCGGCGAGTCGCCAAAGTCGTGGAACTCCTGGAGCGAGACGGCCTCACGGAAGTTGCGGCCGCGCTGTTGAGCCGACCTCCACTTCACAGGGATGACCCTCGCGTCGGTCTCCTGATCCCGGAGCAGCTTGATCATGCCCGTGTCCTGCCGCAGCACCTCCTGCAGTATCAGACACTTGGCTCCCCGCTTGACCAGCCAGTAAGCGCCCAGGCCGATCGTGATGTCGCCTGGGATGTGAATGCATTCCTTCTCCGCCTCTGGGTCGCCGTCGGCCGAAGAACCGATCGCCCAGATGACACGTCCAGCTGCCGGCGCTGGAGGGGGACCTTCGCGGACGGCGCCTGACTCAGGGTCAAGCGCATGCTGTTCAACCCTCGCGTCAGAGATCGCCCTCATCACCAATAGCGGGGTAGGAGGTCCAGCTGAGCGGTCTGCACGGAAGGCGTGGGTGTTGGCCGCCACTGGAGGAGGAAGCGGACGTACTTGCAGCTGAAGATGGGGCACCTCCGCGTCGTCGTAGTACGCGATACCCTCCAGCGGCGGCGCCGCCAGCTCCTCCGGATACACGTCCCCGTCCGGGGTGAGCACCCACCAGACCATGCCCCCATTGTACAGGGACTCGCCCGTGCACTTCTGCATCGCCGTCTCCGAGCCAGGCTCGAGGAGGACCCGCTCGTGCCACTTGGGCGGTGGCGCCGGGAGCGGGTCCGGCTGGTAAAACAGGCTGACCTTCCGCCCTGCCTCGAGAGTGATGGCCGCCATCCAGCCGAGCATCCAATCGATGTTCTCCAGACGCCACCCGCACCCTGCAACGCGCACACCGCGAAACGACCTTCACGAAGTACACGCTCGCAACTCCAGTGAACACGCCCAGGCCGAACGCGGCCGACGTGAAGAACTGAGTGGGGTCGACGCCCGTCAGACAATAATAGGCAGCCGAGCCGATGGCGCGGCGGCAGCTGGGCTCGCCAGCAATGGAGACTGAGCTGGAGGCGAGCCAGGCGACGCTCGGATGCATCGAGGACGGGCTCCTCAAGCAGCGTGACTTGAGCCGTAATTGTTACGGGCAAGTGGCACCTCACAAAACCTCGAGACCCAAATCTACAAGTAGTGCAACGACGACGATGATGTTCATCCTCATGGTACTTAGGATGTTGCTGGTGAATATGGTGTTCAATGCGATGATGGCACTCGTCGGCTACATATACAAACACACACACACGAACAAGTCGAGGAGCCCTCTTGAAACACGAGTACGTCAACAACCATGTCATTGGCACATACACACACACTTGTACATCAGCACCACCATTTCATTGCCACATACACACACAATTGCACATCAGCACCACCACTTCATTGCCACATGCAGACATTCACTTGTACATCAACACGACCACTGCACAGCCACACTTCTTTTCCTCTTCGTCCTGTGACTCCTCCCCCACAAGGCTGGGGGCTACCGGACCGGCCTCCAGGCTGGGGGGCTGGTGGACCGGCCTCCAAGCCGGACGCGTCCGCTGCTCACATGTGTTGTGCACAGCTAGCAAGCTGTGCAAAACACATGTGAGCTGTTCTTTCTGTTTTTTTAAGTCGTACTTCTCTACAAGACTCCGTGGACGACCCTAAGGGACACCATCGGGAAACTCCCGGCCTGGAGGCCGGTCCGTTCGCACCGGCCCTGGCCTGGAGGCAGGTCCATTGCCTAGTAGTAAGGGTAGTAGTAGTAGTAGTAGTAGTAGTAGTAGTAGTAGTAGTAGTAGTAGTAGTAGTAGTAGTAGTAGTAGTAGTAGTAGTAGTAGTAGTAGTAGTAGTAAGTAGTAGTAGTAGTAGTAGTAGTAGTAGTAGTAGTAGTAGTAGTAGTAGTAGCAGTAGTAGAGTAGTAGTAGCAGTAGCAGTAGCAGTAGTAGTAGTAGTTGTAAGTAGTAGTAGTAGTAGTAGTAGTAGTAGTAGTGGTGGTGGTGTGGAAATAGTGGTACTATTAGTAATAGCAGTAGTAGTAGTAGTAGTAGTAGTAGTAGTAGTAGTAGTATAGTCGTAGTAGTAGTAGTAGTAGTAGTAGTAGTAGTAGTTAGTAGTAGTAGTAGTAGTAGTCGTTAGTAGTCGTAGTAGTGCCGTCGTAGTAATAGTAGTAGTCGTAGTAGTTCGTAGTAGTAGTAGTAGTAGTAGTAGTAGTAGTAGTAGTAGTAGTAGTGGTAGTAGTAGTAGTAGTAGTAGTAGTAGTAGTAGTAGTCGTAGTAGTAGTAGTAGTAGTACTAGTCGTAGTAGTAGTAGTAGTAGTAGTAGTAGTCGTCGTCGTCGTCGTAGTAGTACTAGTAGTCGTAGTAGTAGTAGTAGTAGCAGTAGCAGTAGTAGTAGTAGTAGTAGTAGTAGTAGTAGTAGTAGTAGTAGTAGTAGTAGTAGTGGTAGTAGTAGGACGACGGCAAAGGCGACGGCGACAACGACGGGAGAGGAGGGAGGAGAAGCCTGCTTCTCCGTCCTCTCCCGTCTCCTCCCCCTTCTCCCACTCCTCCCACTATGACCACGGAAGACGATTTTATCAGGAGGAAAACGACGACGCTGACGACGACGAAGACGACGTCCCGGCATCAATTCTGGATTGTTGATCGTGAGTCGTGGGGAACGGAGAATAACCACATACAAAGGGGAATGTTACGAGGAGGACGACGACGAGAAGTACAAGAACAGCAAGAGTAAGAGAGGGCGTATAGAGAAGGGAGAGACAAGGACGAGGATGATACCGAAGGTAGGAGGAGGAATAATCCATATGGCCCACTATCACCGAGTGATCCCTGGAAACCTATCCTAAACCCAATGCAGCCCTTGCCCTCCCCACTCATCCCTTCTCTTCTCGTCCTGCTGGAGAGGAAGAGGAGGAGAAAGACGAGGAATGCTGAGTATGATGAAGAGGAGCAGGAAGAGGAGGAGGAGCAGGACGACGACGTGGGAGGGAAATGGCTGAGGACGAGAACGAAGAAGGAGCAGGAGAGCAGGACGTAGAGGGGGAGTCTCGCCATCCCCGCGTGGCTTTCGCTGCCCTTGGGGAGCGCCGTCGCCCGGGGCCCACAGCCGGAGCGTGCCCTGCGGGAAGTCCAGGTCCGCGTCGTACCCCTGGAGCGCCTGGTAGCCGAGCATGCCGCTGAGGGGCAGCTCTCTGTCCGCGGATTCCTGCCGACCGGCCACGGCTCAGGGAGCTGTGCCCCAGTTCCCCCTCATTCGCCTGCTGATGGGGGTCATACCTCCGGGGACACAAGTAAGCGAAGGGAGAAACAGTGCTACAGCATATGCATATCTAAGGAGTCGCAGAACGGAAATGCCAAGGACAGAGCATGCTTGAGGAAAACGCTGCCCAAGGCGAAGAGTATTACATGAATTGAACTTACCTTCTTCCATGACCCCCAAAGGCTGAACCACATCAGCCGGCACCCTCCCAGGGGGGAATTCGACCTTTCGCGAGGGGTGTCGAGGACCCCCCCCAAAGGGTGGCGATAAGGACGAGTGTCCACGAGCGGCGCAAGTATCACCGCATTTCTGCTAACCCTGGCTCCCCGTCTCTTCAGGCCAGAGCCCTGCACGCCGCCACGCAGGGCCCGGACAGGCTGTGCTGTCCGGCGAAGGGGGGAGAGAAAGGGAAACGCAGGCAGACGGCGACGAACGCGCAGGCGGGAGGCCGGGGCCGGCGGGACAGGCGGATGTGTCCTGCGGGAAAGACGCCACCGCCGCCTCCAGCGGAGGCAGTCTGGCGCCGCATGCCAGCGCTGGGCTGGGCAGGTCCACCAGCGGCACGGTGGCGGTGCCCCCGGCGGCCTGGCCAGCGGCGGCGCCCCGCGAGCGTAGCTGGAGCCTCTTGGCGAGCGCCGGCGTGACCATCGCCTCACTGAGGCCCGAGTCCAGCATCAGCTCCACCTCTTAGCATGAGGGACACGGGTGCTGTGGGAAACGGGTCCTGGACCCCGGGGCCTTGCCCCAGGACGAGATCTTCATCCTGAGTCGTTTTCTGACGGTCCCGTGGCCCGTGGAGCGCCCCAGGAGCACGAAAATACAAAAACCTCAATACGCTTTTCCTTCAGGACCGGTTTCCCCCATGGTGAACCTCTGCGCCAGAAACCGACGCGCTGACGCTCGCGAAGCGCCCACCAAGCTGCCCGGGCGCAGGCCGCAGCCGGTGCAGCGGCACCTCGCAGAGAGGCGCTGGGCGCGCCGCGGGGGCGCCCCGCCCCTGGGCATCGTTTAGCCGATCCCCAAGCTCATCGGCGAGTCGGTCCACTTGGTGGATACGTAATGCTGTTTCCTTCGGGCTTCGCAGGACCCATCCCCACCTGGGGGGGTGGGGCTGGTGAGCTGGTGGGGCTGGTGGGGCTGGTGGGGCTGGTGGGGCTGGTGGGGCTGGTAGGGCTGAGACACCAGAGAGGATGGGGGTGGGGCTGAACGGGGATCAGATAGACGAGGTCCTGGCCCAAGCTGCCCTTGGCTTTTCGCATCTTGCTAGAGCCCACCCGGGCCCTCTGCTCGTTAGGGCTGCTCTGCAGGCTGCGGGGGCCAGGACACTCCTGGCCACACCCGAACCATGCTGAGCCCCCAGCTGGCCCCGTCGCCGGCCAGGCCCGCGCCCGCGCCGAGCACCAGCTCACGCCTGCCAGCACGCCGAGCGGCGACACTGGCGCCGGGCCGCCCAAGCAGCCGGCGCGCGCCGCGGGTCGCCCGCGGGGCCCCGGCGGCGGGCGCGGCCGGCCGCGCGCCGAGCGCACGCGCGCCGGCGGCCAGGACGCGGCGGGGCGGCGCGCAGAGCAGCGCTGCCGCGCCCAAGCAGAGGGCGGCGCGCGGTGGGCCTGCCCGCGGCGCCGCCGGGGCCCGCCGCGGCAGCGCCGCGGGCCGCGCTGCCACGTGCTGCTCCATGTGGCCGTCGCGCGGCGCGGGGGAACAGCCGGGGCGCGAGCGGAGCCAGGCATTCAAAGACCACTGATTACCTACCAGACCACCCCAACCTAACCCGAGAATCCAAATCTCGGGTTGGGTGGGTGGGTACGGGTTTTCAATGTTCCCCGACGTCCCCTCTACTGGGAATGGAAGGCAAATTGGTGCCTTCGGGTTGGACTGGGGTGGTCTGGTGGGTGGTAATCCACCGCCCCGAGAAACTCTAGACGCGAATTGTAGTGTTTTCGGTGTCTCGGGGCCCACGTTCGGCCTTGGGAACGTCGAGCAGCGACTCAGGATGAAGAGACTGCCTTGGGCAAAAGGTCCAGACATCTGGGAACCCCGTATTGAGAAACTCGAGACGTCGGATGTACGGGTCGGACACCGCGTCGTGAGAAAACGCAGGCTACAAACTGCCAGGGCCTCAGCCCCAGACATGCACGCGTCGTGATAAAAAAACAACAGTATGTGTGTTGGCTGTGTTCGGTCTCTGGAAGCTCTTACGGCCCCGGGACCATAAAAAACAAAACAACAACAACTGCGGAAGGAAAACTTGCCCTGGGGAAGGGGTCGCATCATCTGGGGACTTCGCCCTGGAAAAATCAAAACATCGCATCTCTGGGACTTGATCTTTATCCGCCACCGTGATCCCTGACGGGTTGAGGCGTCGCGAAATTATACGGCTGTCTGGGCTTCTTGGATTCTTGTCAGGGTCTCCCCCCCCCTCCTCGCGCCACCCCGCGTGCATTCCCCCGCCTCCGAAACTCCCTTGGCTTCCTGGAGCTTCCCAAGCGGCCTCCCAGGCCCCTACGATGCCCAGCTCCTAACACGGCCCAGGAAGGCCACCAAAACACCGAAATGGCACAACGTTGCCTCGAACAGGTGTCAATGCCATTTTTTCCCAGGTACCGGTCGTTCCCCAGAGGGGGGGGGCGGGGAGGGCGGGAGGGTGACGGTACGGCGGCCGCTGCGTGCGCCCGCCTGGGTGCGTCCGCGCCACCCGCGCACCAATCGCCTGTGTGCACGACGTTGTCCAATGCCGACTTGCAACACAGCGCCACCTGTGTACGCATCAGTGCCTCCGTACACCACAACAGCCGCTTGCAGTGCAGCGCCACGCCACCAATGCACACCGCAATGCCTGTGTATATTGCGGCAACCGTGTTTCATAATATGATTCCAACTGTTCATTGTTTATAATTTAAAGGAAGCCCGATGGAAAATGGAACGCGTCTGAATCCAATGTTTAAATAACATGTGTCCAAGAACCGCTATGGAAAGCGGCACGCCCCTGGATTCCACAAAAACGTTTTGTTTGATAGTGGAAATTCGGGCGCTTGTGGAATCCACATATTACGATCATTTTATGTACACAGTTTGTGGGAGAAAAAAAACGATATGGAAATTGCAACGCTTGATGACTTGATTCGCGTGCACCACAAGTGTTGCGTGCACCACAACGCCCGTGTCACCATAGCAGCCGCGTGCAACACAGCGTCGGTGCACACCAGTGCCTGCGTGCACCACAACGCTTGCGTACACCACAGCACCTGTGTACACCGCGGCAGCCGTGTGCAACGCAGCGCCGAAGTGCACCACGCTGCCCGCGTGAGAAACAGCGCCTGTGCACACCGACGGCGTGGGGCCGCCCGGTCTTCATTTTCTCCATGGCGCTAGGTTTACAACCAATGCGTGAATGAAGGACGGGTGGGAAGGACGCAATACCGAAATTGAGACTTATTTGCAAAAAACTTGCCAATGAAAGCGGCGCAAGACAGGCCGCACATGCAAGGACACAAGGGTGCCCTGGAAGACTCGCGCATCCTTATCAGGCGCGTTGACTGAATCGCACTGCAACCGAACACCGGCCAAAAGGAAGGGAGAGAGAAAGCCAACGAATTCCGCACTTGCGGAAGAATGGTCGAACCAGCCTGCGGTAGCTGAGCCATCGCAAATTGAATTGGACCACGACGACGGCAACGACGACGGACGACGACGGACGACGACGATGACGACGCATTTGACTCTTCGGGCCCGGCCTTGGTAGGTCCGGCCAGCCTGGCAGAGGTGGTCTACAAACGCTGGGCACGCTGGTGCTTGTGCCATGATGTTCGGCGCGTTACCCATGAAGACTTCAATGCGGTCCAACCCTCGCTGTTCCACGTAAGGTGCACCCGCTCCCGCCCAACATGTCTCGTACAGTTTTGTTCCCATCGCCGCACTTTAAACTTGCGCCCGTGCATATATGTCCGTAGATATTCTCCAACGTCTGAAAGTAAAAAGTCCCGCGCCAACGAACACGCCTTGTACGCGAGCCGCTCCAGGGCCCACTTCGAGAATCTCCCACTATGTCTTGCCCAATCGAAAACTCTTGACGAAATGCTGATATGCCAACGTTCCAAGCCATCTTTGCTCCGTAGGCGGTGTGGCTGCGAATGACAGTCTGCCAGATAATCGCTGGCCTCATTCTCCCGGTCGGTGGTCACCTTCAGCCGTAGAATTCGTCGCTGCATGGCGTCTTCAATGGCCCTGATCTTCTGCAAGTGCTTTGCGTCAGGTTCAGGCTATCAGCTGTGCACAGCAAGCGCGGCAAAACGTAGGGACTCAATGCCAACAGCCTCTCCTTCAAAAAACACTTTTGGAAGTAGGAACGCCTCATGTGAAAGCGTGCCCATGCCTGGGCGCCGCGATTTGTAACCTCCTGGGTGCAATCGTTGCTCGCAAGGAAAATGGTGCCCAAGATACGAATGCTTTCATTATTTTGCTGATGATCGATGGTGACAGCGCTGGATTTGCCCTCGAACATCGCCCATGGGCCTTTGATTGTCACAGGCCCCCGCGCTACATGAGTTCCAGTCCACGCGCGCTCCCCGAGCTCCACTGTAAAACCTGCTTTGGCGAGTAACTCATCCCATCGATCTCTCACGAGGCGGAGTTGATGCCCGCTCTGCCCCAAGAGCCAAAACAAAAAGAAGAACTGGTAGGCGCTTCGTCTCCTGCATGGCCCTGGTCGGCCAAGACTCGCCACTGCGACTGTGCTGGAAGACGGCCAAATCTTCGTGGAAATCCGCCTCCCCCACCGGCGCCTCCCGCATTCGCGCAAGAACGGCAAAACAACTCGCCGATAAAGAACCTGGTTGAAATCGACTGGCGATTCAGGATCTCCTTGGAAAACCGACTGGGTACGACGGAAAGGTTTTGACAGTGGCTCCCCAAGTAATCTTGCGCGACCCCTTGCCCTCCGCACTTCCCTCAAGCGCGCCGCGATGAGACTTCGAGCCACGCCGGCCTGCTGCAAACCAGCTGCGCACTCTCCTTTAACCGCCCTTTCACGTAACATCCGAAGAATGAACTGTATCTCGTTTGATTGAAAGGACTTCCGATAAGCGAACTGATGATCACCAAAACGTAGCTCGCGAGTGCCAGCTAAGTCCGAAATCGGGCTGCTGTACAACTTGTGAAATACAGACAGAATGGCAAGATTACGAAAACCCTTCATCAGCTCCAGGTTGCCAAATTTTACAAACAAAATGATTTCGTGAAGATCGAACAAATCATCCTCGTCCGTCGCCGCATGGTTGAGCAAACGTAGAACATAACATTCCGGCAAGACATCAAAAGCCTCCGATAACATCGCCTGTGACATCTCTGAAACCAACAAGACCTCCCGCGAACATGTCTTGCCATGCTTCAACCGACTGCCAACTTACGCACTTTCAAACCAGTGACGTTCCCCACTGCCTCGAGGTCCTCGTTCGACCATCGGCGATGCATCCACTTCGGCGGCGAATGGCCCTCCAGGCCCGAATATTCACACTCGTAAAACTGCTTTGGATGATCCACGACCTCCGCCATATCTGTCATCATCAAATCCCGTTCGATATTCTTCGCGCGCCCTTTCCCCGTGAAGCGTCGGCGAAACTTGAATTTCGAACCGTGCCTTCACCAAATTCTGCACTCCTTCCAAAAACGACCTCGCGGCATATCCTATATCCTTCCGGACCTTGTTGGCAGCCGCTGCGAAAACATGTCGGTGAGAGGGGTCAGCGGTGGCGAGTCTGAGATCCTGCAAGGCTCCCAGCTTGACAAGCATCTCCGGCGCGCACGGCTCGCGGCGCAGTCGGCGGCGCGGCACGTCCGTCTGCGAAGCTGCCTTTGTGATGATCTCCGCGATTTGCCGCAGCGCCGGTAAAACGCATTCCTCTCTGTCAACTTGCATGCGATCGGCAACGCACGTCTCATCCTCCACGTCCATGCATGCGCATGTCTAGCGAAGTGCGCCTGCTTCGTTTGCGAGGCCTGGCTGGGGCCTCCTCGGCAATCCAGGGCACCTGAAAAGCTTACTGGAGCGTGTCCTCTGGAAGGTGGCGGCAGCAAGACGATTATGCAATGATTCAAACGACCATAGATCCAAATACGAGAGAGAGAGAGAGAAGAGAGAGAGAGAGAGAGAGAAAAGAGAGAGAGAGAGAAAGAGAAAGAGAAACATATAGAGAGAGAGAGAGAAAGAGAAAGAGAGAGAGAGAGAGCGAGAGAGGAGAGAGAGAGAGAGAAATAGAGAGAGAGAGAGAAACAGAAAAAATAGAGAGAGAGAAAAAAAGAGAGAGAGAGAGAAAGAGAGAAAGAGAGAAAGAGAGAAAAAGAGGAAGAGAGAAAGAGAGAAAGAGAGAAAGAGAGAAAGAGAGAAAGAGAGAGAGAGAGAGAGAGAAAGCGTGATCCACCGCCGCTCTACCATGGAAAATCCCACCCTTCCTCCGGAACCCGGCCCCCCCCCTCGAAAATCCCCGTGCTGCCCCCCCCTCCCCTTCCCCCCTTTCGCCCAGCAAAACCCCCCCCCTCCCCAACCCCCCCCTCCAGAAAACCGAAGGGGGGTCGTTGCCGGTTCGAGCCCCCCCCCCTTCGGAAAACGGGGGGGGGGGCACTGCCGGTTCGAAGACTTCCCCCCCCAGAAAACCAGAGGAAGGTCACTACCGGTTCGAATCCCCCCACCCCTTCCAGAAAACCGGGGGGGGTCAGTGCCGGTTCGAACCCCCCCCTCCCCTAGAAAACCGGAGGGGGGTCACTGCCGGTTCGGCCCCCCCCTCCCTCGAAAGCCGGGAGAGGTCACTGCCGGGTTTGACCCCCCCCCTCCTCCTCGAAAACACGGGGGGGGGGGGTGCGCTACTGGTTCGAACCCTCCCCCCCGCCGTCACCGCCAGCAAACGATTCCCCGCCCCTACCGCCGTCCGCACCACATCCCCCACTGCTGTTCCCAGCACCGCTGTCCTCACCACCAGTCCCCGCTGGTTCCACCACCGTTCCTACTGTCCCACCAGTGCCCCCACGACCGTCGCGCTGTCCCCACTGCCCCCACCACTGTTCCCACCACGGCTCCACTCTCCCCATTTTCTCCACGGCCCCAACCGCTGCCGGACTATCCCCACTGTCCCCACTGTCCCACCGCTGTCCCACTGAGCTGTGCCACTGTTCCCGCCTATGTCCTCACTGCCCCCGCCGCGGCCCCCACTGTACCTCTGCCCCATTGTCCCACCGCCGTCCTGGCCACCCCCCTCACCACTGTCCCCGCCACCACTGCGCCCAACACTGCCCCCCTGCTTCCACCGCATTCCCACTGTCCCCACACCGCTGCCCCCACCACCGCCGCCCCCACCAATGTCCCACTGTCCCCGCTGTTCCCACCAGTGTCCCCGCTGTCCCCACCAGTGCCCCCACCAGTGCGTCAATGTCCCCACTCTCCCCGACATTTTCCCACCGCGGCCCCGCCCCCCCCCGCTTCCCCCGCGGCCCCCGCCACTGTCCCACTGCCCCCACTCTACCCACTTCTGTCCCACTGTCCCCGCTGCTGCCCCACTGTGCTGTCCCAGCGCCCCCACTGTCCCCATCGCTGTCCCACTGTCCCCACTGCCCCCGCCACTTTCCCCACCGTGCTACTGTCCCACCACTGGCGCTGTCCGCGCCACCGCCTTCGCCGCTGCCCCCGCCACTACCGTCCCCACCGCTGCCCCACTGTCCCCATCCACTGTCCCGCTGTCTCCTCGCCGCTGCCCCCACCGCCACCGCCCCCACCGCTGTCCGCCCCCTCCCCCCCCGGTTTTCGAAGAAGGGGAGGGGGGGCTCGAACCGGTAGCGGCCCCCATCGGTTTTCGAAGGGGAGGGGGGGTTGAACCGGCACTGACCCCCCCTTTTCATGATGGACTGGGGGGGTGGGAGGTTCGAACCGGCAGTGACCCCCCCCCCGTCTCCCGGAGGGGGGTGGGGGGTTCGAACTGGCAGTGGCCCCCCCCGGTTTTCCGCCATCAGCGGTAGAACGCGCTCTTTCAAATAAAACCAACGATGCCTTAATATGTACTGAAAATGCCCCCCTTCCGTTCCCCCCCATTTTGGCGAAGAAATCTGCGCGTTCATTGCCGACGCACCCAGCGCGTCCTCGTCTCCAGGCTGGAGCTCCGACGACATAAACTAGGCGAGTGTCCGCCCATCGGGTCTGCAGCAGGATCGCAAAAACGACGCTGCGTTGCAGTTTGAACATGCCCTCAATGACCCCAATGACATATGAATCGTCGAAACAGATCTGCACGGGGCTTCCACGAAGCACAGCGGCCTCTTGTGGAGGTAAACGAGACTGGTTCAACAACCAAAGACAAAATCTCGATGGCCCCCGCAAGCTCCGCCACACCGTTCGCGCGCCTGACGGCACCCAGGAAGGTCGGTGACACGTGCAGGTCCACGCCGCAATCGGCTCATCAGTGGATGAAGGCTCCAGCGAAGTATAAACTGCGAAGCCGTCGCCGTCGCTTGCGCCGGCGCCCGCCGGCATGCTCGTCGACGAAACCGGGGAAGATCCCGAAAACATCCGGGCCATGCAATTACCGTTCCCGGCGAGGGGCGTGGAGCTCCAGCGCCTCGTTCACCGGGTTCCCCACCCCGGCCTGGTCATGGCGCCTCCGCCCCGCAGGTTTTCGGGCAGGGCGTGTCTCCTCCAGCGCCGCCAACTCTGCTGTTTCCAATTTTGCTGCGCCCAACTCAGGACGACGACGACGACGACCGCGACCGCGACGACGACTTTTTCATCGGCATAAAAGGGGCTGCGATGTTACGAGCAGCGGCTGCGCGCCTGCACGCAAATCGGCGTTCGAGGTAAGTCTACAACGCTTAGCATCTGGAACCCGCCGCCAGGGGGAAATGTCCTTAGTGCGCGTGGCGCGCGGCACGGCGCTCGCTCTAGCGCGTGCTACAGGGCGGGGCGTGCCCCCACGGTGACGGGTTTTCACCGAACAAAGACTCGGCGGCCTCCAGATCGGCTTCCTCGCCCTCTGGGAGACCTGGGGGCTCGAAGTCGAGACTGGTGGGCGAGGGGGACTCAAGAGGAGGAGCGGGGATAATACTGACTAAAATTTCCCCGGGCACGAATCGAATCACGTGGTTAGAGCGTCTAGCCAGACACTCAGCTCCCCCCCCAGCCACCCAGGCGGGGAGATCCCCAGGTGGTGCTAGATAGCCCCCCTCTGCTTTGATAGCTGCGACGAGGTCGGCGCGGAGGTCCCAGCGCGGGCTCGCGACCAAGAGTTTCGTCATCTTTTCGTCGTTGCATTTCTCGAGCTTGATCATCGTCACCTATTCCTCGAGCTTATCCTTGGTGACGTCGGCTGCTCTGTCCTCGCTCGGCTGGTCTTTGTCGAGGTAGTCGTGGAGGTTCTTCTTGTTGCCGCCGCCGATGTCGAGCTTGCACGTCGCCTCGACGAGGCAGGGCGCGAGGCTGGCGGTCGGGCTGCCCGCGGTCTCCAGCTCCAGCATCTGCTCTGGCGTTCCGTGGCGCAGCTTGTCGAGGTGGGCTTTGTAGTTCTCGAGTTCTGAGGGCAGTGCTGCGGTTAGCTGATGGTCCCGGGCCAGCGTGAACGCGCGGGGCGTGGCGGCGCTCAGGATCCGAAGTCTCTGAGCATTCATCAGGGCCATCTTCAGGGTGGCGGTGAGCAGCTCGGCGAGGTGCTTGTCGCGGCTGGTCCATGGCTTCTGTGTGTGCTGTCCGCGCTGGCGTCGACCTCCGCGTCGTACTTTGCGTTTGCGGTCTCCCTGTTCGTCGCCCTCGCCCACCGCCATCGAGCCCTTGGCCTCTTTGTCCTTCGTCACTGCGCCCCCTGCGCCCCCCTCCTGCTTGGCTCGCGGCTTGTCGGCGCTGGCGGCGCTGCCAGAGTGCCCGGGCGCCTGGGGGGATCCCGGCGCGAGGCGCCAGCTCGCTCGTGTCGACGCTGGCTGCGCGGCCGCCGCCGCCGACATCTTGTCGTCGAAGGGGTTCAGGTACTACTGGAGTGGTGGTCGCCAACTGCGGGGCGTTGGCCAGGATGGATGCGGTGGTACTCGCGGCGGTTGTTGTCGGGCTCGGTCGGGTTGTCCGTGCAGTGGCCCTTGTCGAAGTTAAAGTACGTGTAGGTCGGCTGTGGTAGGCTTCGTGGAGCTGATCTCGTTGCTCAGCAGCGTCCTCAGGCGCCCACGCGGCTCTGCGTTTCTCTGAGAGCTGGCGAGAGATACGCGCGGGAACCTGAAGCTTCTTGGGCGCGGCCTTCACGCGCGCAGCCTTGAGCCTAGGGCCCGACGGAGTCGGTGGGATATGATCGGCGAGATGTTGTCTGAGTTCCCGTGGATCGCGATACATTTCGCGGCACTCGGGTTTGCCGCTTATTTTCGCAAGCGGGCATCGAACCGGGCGTGGCGGTTTCCATTCGTGCAGATGACGAGTTAGTTCGGGGATACATCTATTCGCTTTCCAGGATCTCTGAAGATGGCGTTGGCAGTGATCGACGCGTGAGAATACTGTAGAGCAGCCGAGGCACACGTTGTCGATAGCGATGGCGCTGATGACGGCGGCGCGACCGTGACCAGGCGCTGGCGAGTGCGTTTGATGAGTAGCGAGACGATGGACGGTGGAGAACCTCGCTCGGCAGTTTTCGATCGTGCATCGAAGCGAGGCCAGCAGCTCGGACTCGCTGTCTGCGTCACCCATCTCCTGATCAGCGGCGGGCGCGTCGTGCGCCGACGAGCCGCTCGGGGCCCGCTGGTTGCTCACGTACGTGCTGCGAAAAAGGCGCATGTCACATGCAAGAAAGGCCTGGCGCACGCGCCCATCTCGAAGTAGTGCGTCCATGACCGGGGGGCCCCGCCCCTCCTTGAACGTGGCGCCCATGGGGTGCTCCAGTAGTTGGCGGAGGTCGCCGTGGAGTTGGGTCGCCCACGGGCGTGCACCTGCATCTGCTTGAAGTTGGCCGTGGCGCAGTGGTGGCGACGAGGCTGGGCGCCCATGTGCTCTGGCGTTGATCTGGAAAGTGTAGTCACCCAGGAACGCGGCCAGGAATTGAGCACGGTGGTCGGGGTCGTTGAAAATTGCTTTCCACCAGTTGAGTCGCTTGATCATGGATTCCACTGCGGTCGGCGCGAATTGCCATTCGCGGAAAACTTTGTCAGTCGTCCAGCTTCGGCGTCCCCCGTCGTCTCGTTCATGGTGAGCTTGCCCCAACGGCATGGCGCGCATCTTCGCGGTGCGGCACGCGCCTATCTTGTTGCACTCAGTGGGAGCGAGCACGCGGGGCTCCAGGGCGGACCAGGCGCGCCCCGCCACGTTCGCGATGCAAGTGCCGCGCTTATATTTCCATGGTCCAGGGCTTGCCCAGTTGTTCCTGGGGCGAGTCCAACCCACGGCAGCGGACTGGATACGGGCACGTATCTCTGCGTTGTCGGTGCCAGCGGGCGCGATGAAGCCGCCGAGGTGGATGAGGCTGCGCACGCTGGCGCCTGCGATGCGGTGCTCAATGTCGCGAGTGATGCGGGCCTTGGCGGCGTGGGCGAGGGTGTCCTGCTTCTCGACGTTCTGTCGGTGGCCAGTCATATGCATGTACTTGTTGAGCGTGGCGTTCTCCAGGTAGTCGACGGCGAGCGCCCATCGCGCGTGTGGCGGGCCTTCTGGTAATGCATAGATGCGGATGAGATCGTCGATGCATGCGCCCATGGCGATCTGCTGGGTCGCGTGCGTAATGGGGCACTCCGCGGTCAGGTCGTTGTCGGTGAGCTTCGTGGTTTCGTCTAGCCATGCTTCGACTCCTTTGTAGAACGCTGCCGTGAAGAGCTCGGGCTCTTTGCTGTCGCCCATGCGCCCGCCCGTCGACGGTCGTACTGAGACTTGTGCGTCGCTGGCGTCGACGGCGAGGACCGCGAGTTCGCGGTGCCGGGCAAGGAGGTCGTCGATGTGGTCGTCGCCGGTGCGGCCATAATGGGCCTGGAAGAGGATGGAGTGGCCACCCGTGGCGAAGGCGCTGCGCGCGTCGCAGGACTTGACGCGGAATTTGCAATCGGCCGCGCGCAGCCGCCACATGACGACCTTGACCTGGAGCACAAGTTCCTCGCGCCGTCGTTGTCGGATGACGGGAAGCGTCTTCGAGGAACGAGAAGCGAGCTGGGCGTTTTGGCTGAATCCTCCTCATGTCAGTAAGAGATCTCTTAACTATATGGGGGTAGCGGGCCGCGCGGTGTACCAGGCATAGCGGATTCCTCGGGATGGCGATTTTACGTGAGACATCCTCACAATAATGAAATCTTCGCGACATCGCGTTTAACATCAACAAGAGTTTCGCTCGATACATCCTCGAAAAGTTGATGACAGCGAAATGTCGCCGTCTGTGAAGATTTGCGTTTCGCTCGGGACATCCTTGAAAACATGAGATGACGACTGAAGTCTTTTATGTTCAGAATTGCGATTTCGCTAGGGGCATCCTCAGAAAACGAGCGGCAACACGGCGGACCAGAATGAAGAGCACGGCAGAAACATTGCATTTCGCTGGGGACATCCTCAACAAAAAGAGATATCCTCAACGTCGTCTTGGCATCGTTCTCGAAGTGCCTCAAGATGAGGATATGAGAAGCCAAAAAGCACGTCAAGATGGCTGTCAGAACGATTGGGGGACTTCCGAACATAGCGATTTCGCAAGGGACATCCTCAAACAATGAAAACATACACCAGCATCGACTAGAAAACTGTTGTTCTTACATAGTTTTGACTTTGCTTCCGAAAAGGCATCCAGACGGCCCAAGACAGCCTTCGAAACATGTCGATTTCGCTAGGGGCATCCTCAAAACATGGATGCGTGCGACATCGCATCGCAATGGTTTTCGGAGGGCATCAAGAAGCAAAAGAAGGCCGCAACATGGCCCCAAGAGCGCCCTTCAGGTTGCTGGAAATAATGATTTCGCTAGGGACATCTTGAACAACAAAATCCAACAACATCGTGTTGAACATTGCTGTTTCAACATCGTCTGGGGATCGCTCCTGAAACGGCTTCTAGATGGTTTAAGCCAGTCGTCTAAAAATGACGATTTCGACAGGGACATCCTGAAAAATTAAGCACCAAGCTGGGGCGTTGGATGGCCCTCCGTAGTCGCAGAGGCCCACGCGCAGGTAGAGGCGCCGCCAGCGGCAGAAGACGCGCAGGAGTCGGAGACAGTTGTTGATGTCGTGGATCTCGTCGCCGCTGGGCCCTTTATTCTGTCCCCCGGCAAAGGCGGCCTGGCTCGTCACTGCCTGCGCGGGCAGCGCGCGGGTAGCGCGGGCGTGGGCCAGGAACGATGCGAAGGGAATGTAGCCGACGCGGGCTACCTCGCGTGGAATGTGGCAGCGAGGGCGTCGGGCAGGTACTTCGGCCTGTGCTAATTGATGGACGTGGAAATAGTGTTGGTCTCCGTGCCCCAGGCCGATTGCCTCCACCTCGGGCTCCGTCAGGTGCCGCGGATAAAAGAGGGGTTGCGTGATCTCGCCAGGCCAGGGCCATCCAGGATTGCATCGTCGATATTTGTTGGCCCAGACACGCTTCTTCATGTGCCCGAAGTCCTCCGCGGCGTTGCCCAGGTCTGTGTGCGTTGCTCCGCAATGAACGGGGCCGCGCTGGGCGATGTCCCCCACTGGTGTGAGTAGTAGCTTCTCGACGTTGGCGTCTCGTAGGTAGATGCTGGTGGGATTTGCTGCGGCGCCCACGCCTCCTTCTGTAGCTGGCTTGGCGAGTGCGTCGAAGAAGGCTTGGCCTCGGGGTCGGACAGCGGCGACGGGCAGGTAGTTTCGCTTCCTTATGCCAGTGCGCGTGCCAGCGCGTAGTCGAGCTAGATGTCCAACCTGGGCGAGGTCACGGATGGCCCGCGCTTCCCTTAGCTGATCGTCCACTGAGGTGCGCCACCAATCGTTGTACCAGCGCCCGAATGATTTGAGCTGTTGTGATACTCAGCGGAGACCGGCATGGTGGAGGTGGCGACCAGCTTCGCATAATTGTGCTCGTTGTCGGCGTAGTCGTGCTCTCTCGGCCTTGGCTGTGAGTACCCATGTGGGTGTGTTTCCTTCTCGGGTGACATATTTTTTGGCGGTGGGCTTGATGCTATATCCGGCAACAACTGCATGTCTTGTTGGGGTGGCGTCGGCAGTGAGTCGTGTGAGGCGAGCGCGGTGCTGGTCGTATTGCTCTCGTAGATATTGGAAACGTTGTAGACGTTGATGTCCTTGCTGCAGGCAGGCGGCTCGCATGCCCCAGTCTCAGCGTGGTTGATCAGGGTCACAATGCTGCTCTGGGTCCGAAATTCGCACTCCCATAAACATCGGGGCATGGTCAATGACGGGGAGGGCTCGTAGTCGATATGAGGCGTGCCATCCCGTGACAATTCGTGCATTTGCAAGCTTGAGGCTGGTGGGGACAATGAAGTAGTCGATGCGGCTGTGGGCACCGTGGGTCCCGTGGTAGCTAAGCCCATGGTTCCAGGAACTGTTGATCGCGCTCAGTTCGTGTTCTATCATGTCTGTGTGGAATCGCTGAGCGAAATCGTTTTCGGGGCCTGCTTGATATGGGCCGATGCTGGCGTCGGTGCTGGGGCGGGAACCGTGTGGACCGAAACGTAGATTCATGTCGCCAAACATAATTGGCACAGTGCGCTCGGGAATCGTCGTGAATTGATGCAGTACCCACCGCCTAAGTTGAAGACAAGTCTTCTTCTAGAAATAATGGTCTTTGGCGAGGTGTGGGCGCGGTGGGAAGTAGGTGACGATATCTCGCGCTCGATGTGGTCCACGTTATACATCGATGTTGCCAGCTCGGCCCTGTATGTGTGATGGTGCCGAAGCGACTCGTGTGATAGTCCGTTCTCTGTATAGCCGTCTTGATAGTCCACTGCTGCAGCATGCGCTGGAGTTCGTGCCTGCCGCTCTCGTCCAATCCGAAGTGAATCCAAATATGATGATGAGCTCGTTCTGTATGATGTGCTGTACCTGCCCTGCTCCGTATTTTTGTGCGTGGGGCCAACATCCCGTCCATGTTGCGGAACTCCGCACTGACGACCTCCATGCGCCCCTCGTGGCTGTCCAGGCTGAAAGGATTCCAGCCGACGATGGGGCTGCTGCGCTGGGGATTAGGGTGATAGCCTTCGTCGGTGTCGTCGAACGCGGGGGCGGCGGCCATGCCGAGGCACAGCGCGAGAAGCACCCGCGGCCACATCGCCATGAATCAGGCCATCTCCTGGGGCGAAACTGCTGGGCGGAGAAAGGGCGAAGGTTCGGCGGAGGCCACTGCGCCTGGACGGATCTGAGTGAGCAGTCCGTGGCCTTGACGACGACGACGACGACGACGACGACGACGACGACTGCGAGCGCCACGGCACATTTGTGAGCACCAATGCGTGCCGTTCATACCACGCCATGCGCGGGGGGGTCCACTCCCAGCATATAGGGGGGTGGGGCCAGGGGCGGGGCACGCCCTCCCTCGCCCACGGCACGATCGTTGGCGTTACCTGAGGGGTGGGGGGAGGGCTGGCCCGGGTAACGAGCGTTACGCCAGAGAGGAAAGAAAAACGCTCACCAGGCCCCAAGAGGCCCGTCTTGGGGCCAGCTGGAGACCCTCGCACGGCCCTGTGGGACTGGTCTTGGAGGCCTGTCGGTTGCTCGTAAGACAGGAAACGGAGACGCTTCAATCCTCAAAACGTAAATGTATGATTTCAGTCTCTCACCGCGCCTAGAAACCCAGGAGCGGGAGAGGGAGAGGAGGGGAAACGCAGGACCCCCTGGACCGCGGAACGAGACGCGCAGTTCCCTTCGGCCAAGCCCTCGGCCTGCCCGGCGGGTGTGCGGGGGGGGGGGGGCGGAGCGGTGGGGCACCCCTCGGGCCTTGACGCTCAGGTTGAAGAGCACGTACTTCTGGACGTTGCCGTAGATCTTCCGGCCCTCTCGGATGGCCGCCACGATGGTCGAGAAGTTGTCGTCGGCCAAGACGATGTCCGACGCCTGCTGGGCGACCGCTGTCCCCTGGATGCCCATGGCCACGCCGATTGCCGCCCGCTTCAGCGCAGGGGCGTCGTTGACGCCGTCGCCTGTCATGGAAGCAATGTGGCCCATCTGGGAAAGGGACTCGATGATCGCGACCTTTGGAGGAACGACAGGCGGCATAAATATAAACTTTCGAGGCTCTGCGCGGATTTCTTGGATCGGCGCTGGAACCCCCCTGGCGCACGGAGCGCGCCAGGAGCGGCACCAGCGGTGTCGCCAGGAGGTGCCCAGCGCCGATCCAAAGTTTGCGTTTATGCCGTTTGTTTATCCTTCTTTGAACCTTGTCTGTAGGCTGGGCGCGCGCCCAGCAACGCGTCTGCGCGACCATGGTGAGAATCGCGCCGTCCTCGTCAAGGGTGTGGTGCAGCTTCTGCTGCAGCTTGTCGGGCAGCGGCGCTGCCTTCCCCGCTGCCTCCACGGCCTTGGCCGGCAGGGCCGAGCAGGTCCTCACGCGCTCCGAGGGCTCGTCGTCAGGGAAAAGGATCCTGACCTGCCTGCCAATGGCCGCCGCGGTGGCCTGCTGGTCGCCCGTAATCATGACCACGCGGATGCCCGCCTTGTGGCACTCGGCGACGCTGGGTGGTACCGAGGTTCTCGGGGGGTCGAAGATGTCGGGTGCACCGAAGAGGGGGCCAGGAATTGGATGGGGGGTTCAGCGCATCATGGCCAGAGGCATGTGCGCGGACGAGGATATACTTTTTGAGAGAGGAAGGGGGCGCCGTGAAATCTGGGAGGTACCACAGCCCCAGCCATGACATCTCCCCCTTCCTACTATCGGACCTAGGTCAGAAGAACATCCTTCAAGAACACGAGACCCTCCGTCGGCCAAAACAGACAGGACAGCCGAAGGTACCCTCGCCCAGTATGCACAAGGACAGCCAGCAAACACGAAGAACACGAGGGTGATATCGATCTTATATCTCGGTCCGACTGTACCACAGCTCCAGCCATGACATCTCCCCTTCCTACAGTCCTCATCCCCCTCTTGGACGCCCCCAAGGATGCCAAAGAGGCCCAAGAACACGGCGGCGCCCAGCATGAGCTCCACTCGCTCGTCGGCCCCTTCGGCGCCCCGCAGCCGCCCCAGCAGGCGGCCGTCCACCGGCACCAGCGCGATGAGGAGGCTCCGCAGCGCATCGCGGGCGAAGGCCTGGTTCTCTGCCTCGACGGCCTCCCTCTCTGCCTCGCTGAGAGGCTCGGAGGATATGTCCAGCGCCTCTAGTAGAGAACAGATAATCCACCCCCATAAGCACCCCGACAAGCGAAGCCGTTTAGCAAACGCACCCAAGGAAGGAATCGAGCAGGGCAGGACTGCTTAGTAAACGCCCAGGGCCGTTTTGCAAACGCAAGTTATCGGGGTCGGAGTGGATTCTCCTCCCTTGATCAAGGGAGGACAGAAGAACCACCCTCAGGATACGCACCCCCACAGGCGAAGCCCTTTGGCAAACGCACCCAAACACGCTGAGAGCCTCGGAGGATACACCCAGCTCCTATAGAGCACAGAAGAGCCACCCTCATGATAAGCACCCCCACAGCCTTCAAAGGGAGATCCTCTTAGCAAACTCGCCCCAAAGGAAGGAGATCGAGCAGGGCAGAGCTGCTCGAGAAAGGCCCCCGACTATGTGGTGAGCGCGGATAGAGGGAGTCCGGGCGTCTCTCCTAAGGAGGAAGAGTCTATACACATCCACTGCCCAGGCCTGGACCATCCTGGGTCCAGCAGCGGTGGATACGCCTGGCATGGCCAGAGAGGCACATACACCGCTCTCGGGCCCAGGATTGGCCAGGCCTGGGGCAGTGGATGTGTATAGATCTCGTTGCCCGAGCTCCTCTTCTCTCGAATCTCCCCCCCTTCCCCTACTCTCCCCCTCCCCGTCCCCCTTCCCCTCCTCCCACACATCCCCCTCCCCTCCACGCAACCGGTCACTATGCAGGAAGCCAACGTCGAGTTGTTGTCAGACTTCATCCGCAGGAGCACGCGGAGAGCAGAAACACGGATGCCTCAACATGATATAACTGGTGTACCACGAATGCACCGCGTAATGGCGCTGGGCGAATACTGTGGCTCACCACCCCCCTACACGCTTGAGGCAGAAAGCGCTTAATTGGAACACACATCTCAATGTTCGACAACGAGAGCGCCAACAACATGGAGGTCAACCCAAAAGGTGGGACTACGACGTCCGGAAATTTCGCCAGAACTTGAACGGGCAGTGGTACGACGCCGAGACCGGGCGGGACCAGATACGGGCAGCGACCGAACCAAGACAACACGAACACAACAAGATGGATCTCAGCCGCTGGGGTCACCGAATGGCGGTCACGACGTGAGCCCACCTACATATCATATGTTTGAGGCCACGGCCTCCACGCCATGCCCTAATCGGTACGGGCGGGCTCCCGAAAGGAGCGCGCAAGACTCAATCGTTCGCTTCGCTTCACCTCCCCCTCCCCCTCCCCTCACCCCCCCTCCTCGTCGTCCTCCTACTCCTCATCATCTCCCACCGACGAGTGGGTGTCAGGAAACTCCGGGGAAACTCCTCCTCCTCCTCCTCCTCCGCCTCCTCCTCCGCCTCCTCCCTCCCTCCTCCTCCGCCTCCCCCTCCGCCTCCCTCCTCCTCCTCCTCCTCCTCCTCCTCCTCCTGCTTATCCCCCTCGCCTCCCCTCCTCCTCCGCCTCCGCCTCCGCTCCGCCTCCGCCTCCGCCTCCGCCTCCGCCTCCGCCTCCGCCTCCGCCTCGCCTCCGCCTCCGCCTCCGCCTCCGCCTCCGCCTCCGCCTCCGCCTCCGCCTCCGCCTCCTCCTCCTCCTCCTCCTCCTCCTCCTCCTCCTCCTCCTCCTCCTCCTCCTCCTCCCCCTCGAGCCTCGTCGGAGAGCTGCATCAGCACGCCCCCGCGCAGGCGGCCGAGAAGCCTGTCGGGTGCTCCCTTCACGATGCCCACGTGCCCCACGTCCCCGCCCAGGCACAGCGCCTCGAAGCGCCCGCCGCTGGGCAACCTGTGCACCGTGGCGGCCATCTTCCGCGAGGACGTGAACGGGACCTCCAGCTCCTCTTGGCGGCACGCAAAGGAGGTAGGGGGACGGAGGGAGGCTTCTTAGAAGGAGGCTGCTTCTTAGAAGGCGCGGCCCTTGTTTGTATATGTAGGGCTGGCGCCTTCTAAGAAGCAGCCTCTTTCAAAGAAGCCTTCCTCCCTCTCCCTATCCCCCTGTGCGCGCCGCCAATCCTTTCGGTTCGGACGAAACAGCGAGCGAGCAAGAACATATGTACTTACATGTACGCCGTCCGCCGTGCATGAGCGACGTCGGCGGGTAGAAAGTCGGACTCTATATCGAATTGCATGCCCGATGCGTCGGCGAGGCGGCGCGATCCACCGACCCCATTGGCTCGGGCCTCATTTGGAGGACTTAAGCATATAGCTCCTTGCGGGTCGGACGAAACATGGGAGAAGAGAAGACGGCATCTCTTGGGATCGGCGCTGGCACCCCCTGCGCGGAGCTCCAAAAATGCATGTTTCTGCCACTCGTGCTTCTTCGAAAGCAAAGAGCGAGCAATCACAAATCTACATGTACGCCGTCCGCCGTCGCGCTTGCACGAAACACCGCTTTCAAACGCAGGCCAACGGAAGCTGACCGCGTACGTGTAGCTATGTTCTGAACCTCTTTGAAACAAAAAACACGGGGGATTGCACATGGGGGGTTAGCGGACCCAGGCGCCTCCAGGCGCCAGAGGCGCTAGCGTGCAGAGGAGAGGAGCCCGGCGGCGGGGCCGAGACCGGCCGCATGGAGCAGACTTTCCCTGTCTGGATGGGGTCGGAGGATTCCACCGCATCGTCGATGCATCCCCGATGCAGCAGCGGTGATGCATCGGCGTCGGCGACGCCAGCGATGCATTGGCGACGTCGGCGTGTAGAAGGTCGTGGCGGCGCGCACAAAAGGGTAGGGGGAGGGCGAAGGCTTCTCAGAAGGGGGTTTCTTCTTGGAAGGCGCCGGCCTTACGCCTATAGACAAGGCCTGCGCCTTCTAAGAAGCAGGGGTGCGTCTCAGAAGCCTTTCCCCATTCCCCCTACCTCCCTCTGCGCGTGGCTGAGCATCGACGATGCGGCGCGATCCACGGACCCCATCGGCTCGGGTCCCATTTGGAGGCCCAGGTCATCCCCCCTTTCGCCCGGCCAGCTCCTGCACCCGCTCGTAGTCTGGCAGGGGCGCGCCCCCGACGTCACGCATGTGCGCCTTCGCCGCGGCCGTCTTCAGCGCCGCCTCGCTCATGTTCCCTACCTGAGGCCATGGGGGAGGCTGCACTTCAGACGAGGTAGCGGCTCTGGAGAATATACCGCGTGCCGCGGCCGTTCCACAGCGTTCCAGGACGCTCAGGGAGCGTTCCAGATCGCTCTGGAGCGAGTTATCCCGGTGCCAGCCCGACCCGATGCACACCACCACCGGGCCTCCGAAAGGCCAGCCTGGGGGCGGGGCCCAGGCCCTGATGCACACCAGCAGCCCAGCTCCCCGCCTGGCGGCCATGCATGCCGACAAGGTTCGGGAGATGCGACCTCCACCTGGGCTTACTCCAACTGGACCCGCGTCGCCCGCAAGGCGGGCTCGGTGGCGGTGTGCGCCCAAACCCTCCGCCCTGGGCGGCGAGCGAGGCGAGGAAGTGAGAAGGAGGAGGCCTTCCCAGAAGGCGGCGGGACATCTTAGAAGCCCTCGCGCCTTCTGAGAAATGTCCTGCGTCTTCGGGGAAGGTTCAGAAAACCTCTCAGAAGGTCGGGGGACTTCCGAGCCTTCTGAGAAGGCTCGCCCCTTCTCACTTCGAGCCCTCGAGGGCGCCCTTGGCAAACCTCCTCCCGGCCACCGACCGCCAGACGCCGCCCTCGCCCTGCTCGATCGACGTGCCGTGGCAGTTCACGAAGGCCGCCGCCAGCTGCACCCGCGCCAGCGCGGCCTCGACGCCCGGAGCCCCCGGCAGGCCGAGGTCGGGCGCCGCGGCGGAGTAGTCGGCCTCCAGGCCGGGTCCCCAGGAGGTCGCCTCCTCCTCCCCTCTCGGGGTTGCTGGCGAGGGCGGCGGTGGTGACGGCACCGGCACCGTCAGCTTGACCGTCACCGCGATCATCACTGTCACCACCGTCCTCATCGTCATCACCAAGACCACCACCATCAACATCATCACCATCATCAGCATCATCATCAGCATCATCATCAGCCTCCTCATCCTTCTCATCATCATCATCATCATCATCATCATCATCATCATCATCACCATCATCATCATCATCATCATCCTCATCCTCATCCTCATCCTCATCCTCATCCTCATCCTCATCATCATCATCATCATCATCATCCTCATCCTCATCCTCATCCTCAGCAGCAGCATCAGGATCAGCATTATGGATCATCATCGTCATCATCCTCATCATCATCCTCATCCTCCTCCTCATCATCACCATCATCATCACCATCATCATACGCATCATCATCATTATCAACATAAGCAGCATCATCACCGTCATCAGCACCATCATCATTAGCAGCGTCATCAGCAGCATCATCATCATAATCAGCAGCGGCATCATCATCAGCAGCATCATCATCAGCAGCATCATCATCAGCATCATCATCAGCAGCATCATCATCGGCATCAGCCTCATCATCAGCAGCATCAGCATCGTCATCATCATCATCGTCATCATCATCATGATCATGATCATTATCGTTCGCATCATCTTCATCAGCATCATCATCGTTGAAATCGCCATCACCATCACCGTCGTCGTCATCATCATATCGTCATCATCATCAGCAGCATCACCAGCATCATCATTATCACCACCAGCATCACCATCACCATCATCATCATCATCATCATCATCATCATCATCATCATCATCATCAGTATCATCAGAATCATCAGAATCATCAGTATCATCATCATCATCATCATCATCATCATCATCATCATCAACATCATCAACATTACCATCACCATCACCCTCACCATCACCATTACCATCATCGTCGTGGTCATCACCCCCGTCATCATCGTCATCATCAGCGCGTCCGTCATCGTCACCACCACTGTATTCATCCCTCCCCACCCACCGATCACTTCCCCGCCCCGCTCCTCTCCTGTCCTGCATCCCCTCTCCCATTCCCCCGCCTTGTCCCCTCCCTCCCTCGCTCTCCCCCGCCGCGAGCAACGGAAAAAGGGGGTTAAGAAGGCAAAGAGGGCAAGGAAGAGGAATAGCAAGTAGAGAAACTTGCGGGGGTAGAGTTCGGGAGGAGGGATTCAATGAGGGCAGCGGGCGACGTCGCGCAGCCTCGCTCTGGGAAACATCGAAGATGGAATCCATGGCGGCCATCCGCTCGTCCGTCAAATCCTCTTGGCGAGCTTGACACATATGTGGAAAGATGCGCCCTGCCAGCACTGCTGGTGGCACGAAGAGGTCTTACAACGATTGTGCACTGCCGCCAGGGGGCTGGTTCGCCTGTGGAACCCCACGGGTCCCGCGCACCGTGGTCGCTGCCATGGGGTTCCACACGCCATGGCCCATCAACGCCATGGGTTCCGCGTGCCGTGCCCGCCGGAGCCCCGTCCAGCTCCACGCACGTGGGGTTCCGCACGCGTGGGGTTCCGAGGGGCCAGCAGCGCAGCCCGCTGGCAGTCGAGCTCGCTCGAAAGAGGCATGCGAAAGCGGCGAAGACCAGTGAAGTCGGTGCCGCACTCGACGCCTGAGACAAACAGGCGCTCAGCGACTCAGCAGCTTGACCCCAGACTGGGGTCGAACAGGCAGCACGCACTGAGGAGCCGAGGTGGAATCGAACATGAGGATCGGGAATACGCAAGGGCGATGTATTTGGAACCTTTCGGAGATCAGCCTGCCGCGGGGCCAAGCTCAAACCCGAAACAAGGACGTGCACAGCTCTAATAGGCTCTTTCTCTTTCGTCCGGCATTCGGTCGCAGAGCAATCGCCTCGAGGCTGATGCAGTAGAGCCCAAACCTGCCGAGCGCCAGCCTCCGCACTGGTTCGCAAAAGCTAGAAAGCTGCTCGATTCGCCAGCTGCTGGCGGGGTCGTCTTGACAGTCGCTCCGAACCTTCAGGACGCTGGCAGTGCAGGCTCCAAGGCTCTAGAATACCGAGCAAGTGGCCGCATGGGTCGGAAGCGTTCGCATCTCCCCAGCCCCAGGAGGAATCCCAAGCACGCCGTGACCCCATGAGCGTACCGAGAGCACCCCAGGTTTGCAGGGGCCTTCCTAGACTTCTGACAGAGCTGGGCGGAGTACTTGGGGTTGTTGGGGCGCCGATCGGTAATACCACGTCTAAGTTTCATCGTACAAATGTGCCGAACCTTGCACATGGCAGTGCATAGGTTCTTGATGCAGACTGAAAAGGCAGGGAAACTTCAGCTTCAATTCTAGACGCCTCCTATATGGGGTCCGCGTAGATGGGGTCGGAGGGTCGCACAGCATCGCCGATGCATCGGCGGCGTCAGCGGAGTTTCGGTGATCCCAGCGCGGAGAAAATCGGGCTCCACATGGGGCCGTATCGGCGATTCGACGCGACCCTCCGGCCCATCTACTCGGACCCCATCTAGGAGCCGGAACACTTCTCGGGTTAGTGCTGGAGAGAATGATGCGGAGGAGGCGAGGCTGCCGCATCCTCCTCCCGGAAGACGCCCCCCGACGGGTGGAAGCCCTTCAGCGGGTAGAAGCGCAGGGCTCTCCGGACGGCCAGGCCCGGGCCGGGGAAGCGGACGAAACCGGTGAGGCGCGTGGCGGTCATCTTCCCTCGCGGGAGGTGGGGGGGGGACGGAAAGTCAGGTGCGTGCGCATGGGGGCGCCCAAGAGGGTATTCACAAATCATGGCCGGCAGCATGTGCGGAGGAAGGGGCCTAGGGACGCGTGAGATATCAACGCCCCTGCCATGAGACCCACCTCCCCGTAGTCATCACCCCCGTTTGAGCCGCCCTCGAGAAGAGGGAGAAGAAACATGCGTATAACAATCGGAACTTCTGGAGGTTCGCGCGAGTTTCGTGAATCGCTGGGCCCCCCTCCCTGGCGCGGGACGCGCACAAAGGGCGGCGTTGGTGGCGCCAACTGGCAGGATCCAAAAGTCCGTGTACACCTCGGAAAGTTGATGTGCATGTTTTTTCTTCTCGGGCGAAAGTCGGCGGCGAGCGACGGGGGGAAGTGACAAGGAAAATGCCTCTCAAAAAGCGGCGCGACTTCTGAGAAGCCCTCCAACCTTATGCAAGGTTTTCCGAGTCTTCGGGGAAGGCTTAGACAACTAACTTCCCAGACGGCCACGATACTCTCGGGCCTCCTGAGAAGGCCCGCCCCTTCACACTTCCCCCCCAAGCTGGCCGCCAGGAAGACATGCCGCCAGCCCCTGCGAAGGGAGCGAAGGCTCTTGGGTCCGCGTTGCGAACAACATCGGGCCTTTGGATGCCTAAGTTTGTTTGGGCCCACCCTCCTCATTTTTCTCCCCCTGTCTCCATTTTGTCGGGCGGCCAGCCCGGGGGAGAAATGAGAGGGGGCGGGCCTTCTCAGAAGGCTCGGAAACATCCTGGCCCACTGAGAAGTTGTCTAAGCCTTTCCCGAAGACGCGGACAATCTCTCAAAGGCTGGAGGGCTCCTCAAAAGCCTCGCCGCTTTCCGAGAGGGGCCTTCTCCCCCCCGGCCGCCCCCCCGCGCGCCGCCGAGTTTTTCGATGGCCGCGGGGCGCGAGACTGGCCTCGAAGTGCTCAACGTGTCGTGAGAAGCCGACCGCCCCGACTTCTGCGAGCCGCCAGATGAATATTTTGCCATTCCTTAGGTGGCACTGGCACATCTGTTACCATATTGGAAGGTAGTTCGGTGGAAGTGAAGTAGGGGATGCAAACCTCCACGCCATGGGTGCGGTAGGAATGTCCGTTGAGCTTTGGTTGATAATATGGGGTGAGAGAGGGCCTGGCCGACCGGGAGGGCGCGCGCGCGGCGGGCCGGGCGCTGCCTTTTCCTGCTAGAGCAAACGCACGCAGCGATGGAAGTGTTGTTGCGGGGGCTAAATGGGCCCGGGGGGTCGCCTTAAACGAACCCCCCCGCGGCCGGCCCGGCGCGCTCCGCGCGCGCAGGCGGGCGCCCCTGTTTTTGGCGACGCCCAGAATTGTTCGCGAAAGCGTCGGAGGCCGCGGCGCCCGCGGCCCAGCCTCGGACTGGCTCGCCGCGCGCGCTCGACGCAGGCGCGCGGCGCCCTCGTCTCGCGAGAGGCCGTCCGTCCCAAACGGGCGCCGTCGAGCCGCAATCGATGAACTCGAGGGGGGGCCCAGCGACGTCGTCGCCGGCCCCGGCCTCGTTTTCTTCTTCGCGCCCTCACCGGCGGCCGCGTGGGCCCCAGCTGCCGCTGTTCCAGCCATCCGAGCACCGCGTCCATGATGACCGCCAGTCATCGGTGTTGTCCTGCCGCGGGGTGGAAGAGTCCGCGGCCTGCTGATTCGCGGCGTCGCGCGCGCCAAATCTGGCGCCGCGGCGCCGGGGTGCCGCGGGGCATTCCGACGGAAGTATCAAGCGGCTGGGGGGCGCAGCGTCGGCGCGCATGCAAGAAAGGCTGCGCGCGAACTCTGCGGAGCGCCTCGCTGCGTCGGGTTCTCAGCCCGGCGCCGCCTGGATTCTTGCTGATAATCTGGCGCTCGGCTGCTGGCCCCCCTCGCGACTTCGCGCCGTTGCCACTGCTCGCGCCGTCGCCCTCCTTGTCCGCGCCGTCGCCCCCCGCGCGCGCCGCCTCTGGGCGGCGCCCGGGCTGCGCGGAGCGAGGCCGCTTTGCGCCCTTCGCAGAAAGCCCTCGCAAGGGCGCGCCACCGACATAGTCAGCCGGCGCGCCCGAGTACGCAGGCCTCGCCTCAGGCGGAGGGGGCCGGGGAAACTCGGCCAAACACCGAAATTCCTCAACGTCCGCCGCCGTGGCGGCCTTGAGGCTGCCACGGCGGCGGACATTGAGGACTCAATTGAGTCTGGCGAGGACCGGCCGCGGCCCATGCCGCCGCCCTTGGGCCGAGGGGGCTGGCGCTCTTGACTCCTGCCGCGGTCGCCGCTTGCATCTTTTCCACCCCCTCTATGCTTGTCCTTCTTCTTCGTCTAATTTCCACCACCCTATCCGCCGTCTTTGCCCGACTGCGCAGGCGCGGCTCGAGCCGGGGCGGCAGAGTCTCCGCGCCTCCCCGGACGTCGACGCCGACGCTGTGCCCGAATATGGGCATTTGCCATTGAGGAACTTATGACATGGCGCCGACTTCTCGAGGCGGCCACCCTTCACGCACAAGTTTTGATTGCCTTCGCCAGTCCGCTCTCCGCCCCCTTCGCCCTCGTCGCCCCCCGCAGGAAGACCTCGGGACTTCAATGTCCCCCGCTGCCTTTCCCGATTACTACGCCCCCTTTCGTTGCGCATGAAGTCGCTGACCTCGGATGACAACCATTCGTGGGTCTTCGTGCCCGCCCCGCACTCATCGCTGCAATCGTCGCGGGTGGCATGGGGCGCGCTGCGTGCAAAGGCATTTCTGCATTCGGCGATAGAAATGCCCCTGCATGGCTGGGCGAAAGAAAGCATCCAATTTCTTGATTTCGTCGAGTGTCCCCACTAATCCATCATAGAAGGGGAACAGGTCGGCATCCGCTTCCTTTGCCGCCCAACTGACCACTATCTCCATGAGATCCCTGTTCGCGCGCGCCTGGCCACGATCCTTCCCGGCGGTCACGCGCGCGGCAACGACGCGCGGAGTCTCGACCTTCATCGTGCTCGTGGCGGCCTGCGACGCGATATCCAGCCGTTCAATTTCGCTCGCAAGATTGCGGAATTGCAATGGCGACTGCCGATCCATAATAATATGTTTAAACTTCGACGCGAGGTCAGCTGCTCTGCACGTCGAGCCGGCTGAAGACGCCCGAGTCTTTCAGCCCCTTAGCGTCAACATTCTTCATGTCGAACGAATTCGACATCCCGCTGACGGCCTCGTCGCAATTCGGCGAGGAGGCAGCCGCCGCCCTGACGACGTTACGCCTCTATCGCTGGTAGTTAGCAACGTCGGGGTTCGCTTCCAACGCGATCGGATCCGTCTTGCCTGCGCCATCCCAGCGCGGGATAGCCGGGGCATAGTCCATCGACGGGAACGGGGGGCAGCACCGCCGCCGCCGCCGCCACGCGGCGATCCACCTCCAGGCGGTCCTTCGCCGCGTCGGCGCCGACGATCTGGACTGTTTCCCCCGTCTCCATCGGGCGTCGAATATCCGTCGTCCTCGATAGACCAACCGCCATCGCCCTCGCCGCCATCGCCGCCGTCGTTTCCGCTGCCGCCGCCAGGGGTGCCGGCGCCTTCCGGGGAGGAGGTAGCTGCGCTGACTCGAACTACCGCCGATTTTGACATTTCTGCACGGGCGGCAGCTTCGGCCCTTTCCTCGCGCATTTCCTGGGCCCCCCCGTTCAGCGCGCACCCTGGCGTTCTCTTCCTCGCGCTGCAGGGCCTGCTCGAGCCGTTCCCTGAGCCTCTTCTTCTCAGCACTCGCCGCATCCTCAAACGCAAGAAGCCTCCTGGACTCGGCGCTATCGTCCCCGAGGCATAGCCCTGGGCGCAATTGGGCCAGCGAGAGCGGCCAAGAGAGGGAACCTCGGCATAGCCGCAGCGGCATCGCATCCCGGAAGCTTCTCTCCAGCTAGCCGTTCCTCGCGTTCTCTATCCTGGAAGCTCTGATTATCCGCGTTCTTCTTGGCTCTCGAGCCCCCCCCGCGGCAGCGCGCGCGCAACTCGTCGTTCTTTGCGAAATGGTCGTCGCAAGCGCCCCCCTTGCAGAGAGGGCAGTCGCGATTCGCCACCTGGGGACATGCGGAATACCATGGAGCCCCCGCGCGAGGGTTCTGGCATGGGCCCCCGTGCGCGGCCGGTCGCCCAAACGCAATCGTCGCGGGTGGCTGGGCAGTAACTGCCGTCGCTGCACTCACCTGGGTCGAAGAACCCGTGCTTGGAGCCCCTGCCGAATGTGCTCCTCTCGGGCGCGCGTGTATCTGATGTCGGTCAAGTTTGCGATATAAGCTATCTTGCTCTGCTCCCCGTTGCATCGTCAACTGGGCAGCCCCCATCTTCGTCGCGCGAGTCTTCGCTGCGACCGTCTCCTGAGCAATCAGCTCAACTCGCCGCGCCTCCTCGCGAGCGCGCAGCGTCTCGGCCTCGGATCGAGCACAGCTCTCATCCGCGAGTCGGTTCGCCTCGGCCTGCTGCAAGGCAGCGGCGGCCTCCGCCGCCGGTCGTGCATTTCGATTCTCTGCTGCCTGCAACTCCGCGGCGGCCTGCGTCGTCGTTGCCCGCTGGGCTTCGCCGGCCCCCCGGCGGCGCGTCTCGCTTCTTCTGCCAAGCTCTTGTCATGAAGGTGCGCCTGGCGTTCAGAGGCGACGGTGGTTTTGAGCCTGTTCGTTAACTCCCGCATCTCCACCGCCGCTGCAACCTGCTGTCGCTCTTCCAGGGTGCGCGCAGCGTTTGCCATGGCCTCCCAGTCTCGCTCCAACCCGTAAGCAGCGGCTTCCTGCTGTCGGAATTCGGACTGCCTCAACTGCCCACGCATCTCGGCCACATCTCGTTCCCTTGCCCCCATAATTTCGAGCCTCTTCCTTTCCTCGGCCCTCGCCGCTCATTGGCCCGCAACCCAACGCAATTTTCCTAACCAGGAGCCACGCAAGTCGGGCAGAGGAAAATGAGGTTGCAGAGAGCGCAACTGTTGGAACATCCGAAGCAAACAGGGCTCATGCAGTGACCCGATAGGCCGGGGCACCGCGACTCGGGCACTTCTGCGCATCCAGGGCCAAAGTTGCCACACATGGCATTGATCCGCATGCTGAAGGTGGTTGATCTTCCTGACGAGTTTTAGACAAGTCCGATACCTGTGATCGCGGCATCGGGGCCCTGGGTCTGCCTCTCTCAGCGCTTCTCTCGCGGGGGGAACGGGCGCGCAGATCATGGGCCCAAGCGTCGAAACCCGCCTGGGGGGCCCGGGGGCATAGCTCTCGGGACACCCCCCCGGAACAAACACCCTTTCATCAGGACGTACATCACCCTTCGATGGAAGGGCCATCGTTCCTCCATCAGGTAAAACCACTTTGGTCGAAAACAAAACTTTCGGCTGATAACCAGTATCTGCCAAACTTTCGATGACATTGGCATAAGTTGAACCATATTGGTAGGTAGATACTCATATCCTTGAAGCCTCTTGCTCAAGTTTACTCTCGGTAAAAATTGTCCGTTAAACTCTAGTTGACAATGCGGGATAAGAAAAGGCCCGGCCAGCCGGGAGGGTGCGCCCGGGAGCGTGCGCGCGCGGCGGGTGGGGCGTTGCCTTTTTCTTGTTTGAACAAACACACAACTACGGATGTGTTGCTGTGGGGGCTAAATGAACCCTGGGGGTCGCCTAAAACGACTAAATGTCTGACAAGTGCGCGCAGCGTGCCCAGTCCCCTTTCGTGGGTTCCCCACGAGGCCGCCCGACTCCTGCGGGGCCCCCGCTGACTTCGGGCGCGCGCACGTGCCCGGCCCCCCCCGGGCGCCCCCCCCGAACGGGACCGCACCAGGCCAATCTCCCAGCGAAGAAGAAGAAGAAAACAAAAAAGAGGGAAGGAGAGGATGGGGAAGGAAAGGATGAAAAATAACACAATGCATCGTGCAAAGACGGCGGCGCGCCTGCGGGCACGGGCAGTGTATTACATCGAACACTGCAGTCGTCACAAAACCATTGCACGGCGTCCCGCTGCAGAGGCCCGAGAACGGACGGGGATGGATGGGGAGGCGCAGGAGAAAGAGCCCAAGGAAAAGCATGCGGGTGTGAAGGTAAGGTAGGAGCAGAGATGGAGTTGAAGGAAAGCCGTTGTAAACAATCCCCGGAAAAAGGAGATGTGAGCATCAAGCTGGGCTCGCTCCCTAACCCTACTTTGGGATACCCTCTACGAACCCCCACTAGAGATGACGGAGCAGCACATGGCACAAGAGGCGGCGGAACAGCACATGGCACAAAAAGGGGCGGCGAGCCGCCTTCTGTGAGCGTCCCCGTCTTGTCAGTACACACCACGGTGGTGGCGCCCAAGTAGTCGACTGCGGTCTTTCTCACGACGATTGCGTTTCGCTTGCCTGGGCAGCAAACGTGCACAGAAGCCCGTCTACGTCGCATAACTCCGTGCATTGTGCATGCGCGACGCGCAGGTATCCCCGCGGTCTCGCGCCCTCGCGCCGCCCCTTCTGGGTGAAGGGCAGCAACTCTGGCACAAATCGCGACGCGCGAAGCGCATTCTTCCTCGCGCCCCCGGGGGTGACCTAATTAGCTTACGTCACATGCACACCATTAGCAAAGCACCAGCAAGGGCCTGCACGTTGCGGTATCCAACATTCCACTTACGATGTGAATGCCACTCTCTATGCACTAACCTGCCAGACCCATCACGGGCGCCAGACTGTGCTGAAGCCTGGGCTGGAGTCTGGCTAGCGTCTCGTTAGCACTACTGTTTTTGTATTGGGTTTGTTGTCTCTGGCTAAACTCAACTGTCTATTGGGGTCGGCCGCGCCGACAAAGTTCGCACCCGAGGGTGATGTCCTTCAAAAGGGCCCGCGCCGCCAAAGCTCACGCCCGGGAGAAGCGTCCCTCTGCCTCCTGGCCGCTCTAGCTTGCGACAAGTTCCATAGGAACGCCACCAGACGGTCAAGATGGCAAGGCCTCTAGAGAAGGTTCCAATAAGACCCGAATAAAGCCCAAGAAACCCGAAACGGCCGAATCCGGCATCTGTGTCGTGCCCGCTTGTTCCTCCCACGTTTCGTTCCCAGAAAATCTGCAGTATCGGATCAAAACGGCCCCAGGAACTCCCAAAGTTGCCAAAGACGGCCAGGGGTGAACCTGCAGGCAACAAGACGCCACAAAGATCGTCCAGAATGTTCGGAAATTGCCCCAAGACGGCCCCAAGATGTCTGCAGACCCCCGTATAGCCTCGGTCTATCCGAAGATTGTCGAAAGGTGGCCCCCGAAAGCCACAAGGGGTCCCCCGAGAGGCCCTACGATGTCCCACTCCGGCCCTAGAGAAGGGGCCCCCAAACTCCCCCAACGCAGCCGCAAGATGGCTCAGCCTTGGGAGATGCAGCGGCAGAGGGCGCAATCCTTCAGATACCTGTCGGCAGGGAGGACCGCATGCACCTCTCACAAAAACGACCACATGCCCTAATCCACAATAGCGTCTGACATGAACCGTTTTACCTCCCGGGCACCCATCTCGTCGGCGCCGACCCGGAGCATGATCATGACCTGGGCAACTGGGAACACAGCTGTTTAACTGACACGTTGCAGAGGTGAAAGGAAACAGTGATGGGCATGCTCGCCTTGGATTCGAGCGCGGCCCCGAAATCGTGACACGACATAGCCATTAGAGGCATGGGCAACACAATTGTTGCGCGATCCGCACACGGTCCAAACCACAACCTTTATAACAAAATGTTGCTCCACCCACTCATCCTGGGTCGTTTTTTCTGAACAAAACATTTGTCAACGCGAACACCAAACAATGGGATAGTTCACTCTGGATGTGCACATCGTGCAAATCACTACCCTAGAAGCATACGCGCGTGACCACCTCGCAGGTTCGTGCAAGTATGCCACCCCTCCTATTCTTCCTCCTTCTCATCTTGTGCATCACCCTCACCATTCGTCCTCATCGTCCTGCAAATATTTCTCCTCCCCCTCGTACCTCATCCATCGTCCTTCATATTTTTCCTTATGCACACCCGTCCTCTCTCATCCACTGTCCCATTGAATGAATGGATGAATGAAGCCGCGCGTCCGTAAACGCATGAGCAACGGCACGCGCGTGCGCTAGACAATATACTTGCGCACCGCCGTTTTCCAGGCCTCCCCCGAAATAGTGCCCAACTTACTTATACAGCAACCAACATCATGACAAATATGCTGCGCATGCTGCTACAACTATGACGCCCAAGCCTGCTGGGGCCTGTCCCTCTTTCGGCGGCAGCGTTGCTGTGCCAAGACGGAGGAGGACAGTTGGAAAACGACTTGTCTGACAGGAAGATCGTTGCACTCGCGCGTAACATCACTGAACAAACTCGATTGCCGTTGCAACAAAAGGTCGCAGAGCTTGGTGCGCCGGGCTCGCTGTAAAACCTCGGCGTCGGGGGCGCAACTGACACTCAATGCGCTATGCCCAAAATTGTACGCAGGCAGCGCGCCTGAAATGCATTCAATCTCGACAATTCATGCTGACGTAACTTAGACGTGTGAAGACTATACAAGGGCGTCGATTCAACGATTGCCGCGTATATGGTAAGCTTCCTCCTGGTCGACAGGGAAGAATGAGACCATATGTGCTGCAAGGAATCGAGAACAGGTCGGGCGAGGCAGACCCGGCGGCTCAGCTCCGCTCCGACGGACCCGTCGAGTGTCAAGACGCTCCCCAAATACACCATGCTCTTCTTTCCTGGCATTGGGCAGCTGTCAGGCTCGAGCATGGCAGGAGCGTTGCACCCTGTGGCCATGAGTTCCAGCCTCTTCCAGTTACCGTAGTTGGTGCTGGCATCTGAGACGGCCTTCACGTACAACGCCGCCTCCATAGCGCCCGGGGCGACGATCAGCGCGTCGCCCGCGTACGCGAGGCCGCTGACGTCGTCAGCAGCATCGCCGAACGAGGCCTTCGCGTCCTGGAGGAAGACAGCCATCAGGATGGCACACAAGAGCGGCGACATGGGGGCAACGCTGGCAGATGCCAGCCTGCTGCTCCCGCTGCCCCGGAGTTTTGCCGACCTCGCGAACTTCCTGTCGGTGGATGTCACCCGGACAATATCTAGCATTTTGTCCGGCAGTCCGAAACGGCGGAGGGCTGCGACGAGAGCATCGGGCATGACGCTGTCGAGCGCCATTGCCCAATCCAGCGCAAGAACAATCAGCGGCGGCTTGTCCTGCCTCGAAAACGCCTCCTCCGATTTGCGCCTCGCAATGAAGATAGCGTCATTGGCGCCGTGCTCTGACTCAAACCCGAACTGCATCCGCCAAACTCTGTCTTCGGCCCCTGCTTGCTTCAGGCGGCGCAGGAGAATTGCCGCGAAGAGCTTATATCGGGCCTGCAGCAGGCAGATGGGCCTGTAGTTCTCGCACCTAGACGGGTCGCCCTGCTTGAAAATGGAAATCACCAAGAACTCGTCCCTGTGGTGAGGGATCTCGCCGTCTTCCCAGCATATTTGACATAACGAAACGGCCCAAACTCGCGCTGGCGAGTCCCGGCGACAGTTAGGTTTTCAGAAATCACCAAGCATAGCGTCTGAACCACAAGCCTTCTCCCATTTCATCGCTTTTGCTGCTTCGACTACCTCCCATTCCTGTACGGGTCCGACTTCCACCAGAAAAACGGGGCCCAGCATAGCTTCTTGCTTGGGCGGAGTGTTCCGCGCGGCCCACTGCACGCTGCTGAGGTAGTCGGCCATTGCCTCATGGTGGGGATCGGAGTCGACTATCCAGCCCTTCAAATCTCTCAGCCGCCCTGCAGATGTTCCTCGTATTCCTCTGGGTCCCTAGTCAGATTCCCTTCTGAGCCTCCTCCATGTGTGCCAATCTCACCAGTGGCACTGTATTCCAAACACGAACAGAAGCTATACGACATTTGGCCCGTTCATGGCACGCTGATAGGGGTACGCGGCACAGTACTGCGTACCCGTACAAGTTCGCTACACCATCAGCATGTAGATGTGCATCATGCCATATGGATCTCCCCGCGTACGAGCCGCCCCCGTAGCTATTCCGACGCAGGAAGTCGGATCCATATCAGTTGTTGAACCTCGCCCCCCTCCCACCGCACCTGGCCCTCGGCCCGTTCGTCTGCGGTCACTATGTCAAGCTGTTCCGAGACTCCGAGGCAGTGATCTCCAGTTTGCTCAAAGCTTGTTGGTGCGCCCCTCGGCGCCAAAGCTCGCAGTCATGAAGGCGTAGCGGCCTCCAGCAGTGGGCTCCTCCCCTCAGTCAGTGACTGGTGGAGGCGCCTCCAAGCCCGACGTGTAAGATCGCAAGAAGCAGAGGGCGGATGGCGAGATAGGAGACCAGAAGGGAGCAGTGCAGGGAGAGGGCACGGCAGCCAATCCTCGCGTCCGCCGCGGCGGCCGACGCCGAGCGGAAGCTAAGGAGAGAAAGCTCAACACGAAAGACGCTGGGCTCAAGGAGCTTCTGCTGCCGCTGCCGACGCAGGTGGCCCAACTCAGGCAGAAGAGTCGCACGATGTGGGGCGTGGTCACTCGCACGCTGCTTAATTTTTCCAGCACGCAGCCCGCCCGATCACCTGCCCCTCAACAGGGCTATCCTGACCAACATCCACAAGCAGTGCATCCACGAAGGCACAAACCCTGCACAGTCCCCGAACTCGGGCACAGAGGGGGGAAGGAGGAAGAGGAGGGAAGCGGGAACGCCCTCCCAAATACCTGGAGCAGCGCTCAAGCCAACCTGCCATAGGCAAACCGCTGCACGCAACCGGAAACTTGCGGAATTGGCAGAACTGCGTTCACGTGGATATGAGCCCACGCTCTGTGAATGACCAGGTAAACTTAAAAGCTCGTCCAAAATCCGCCGGCCCCCTTGTGGGGCCACCAGGCTGTAGGCGCGGGTTCGCAGTTTCCTGTACCAGTTGTAGCTTGTAGTTTCCAGTGTTACAATTCTGCTTCTTGCTGGTTACTGTAACTAGTTGACTTATTGCTGGTTACTGTAACTAGTTGATTGACCGCGCGAGGGGGGGGGAGGCCCAAACCGGCTTTTTAGCACCCCCTGGGCGCGTTGTCTGAATTGCTGGGGGGGCTCGAAATCGCCACCCCTCACGCAGATCCGCGGGGTCAGGGTCCAAAAACACATGGGATTTGCCACATTTCTGAAATTCGGTGCCACCCCTCACGCAGATCCGCGGGGTCAGGGTCCAAAAACACATGGGATTTGCCACATTTCTGAAATTCGGTGCCACCCCTCACGCAGATCCGCGGGGTCAGGGTCCAAAAACACAGGGGATTTGCCACATTTCTGAAATTCGGTGCCACCCCTCACGCAGATCCGCGGGGTCAGGGTCCAAAAACACAGGGATTTGCCACATTTCTGAAATTCGGTGCCACCCCTCACGCAGATCCGCGGGGTCAGGGTCCAAAAACACATGGGATTTGCCACATTTCTGAAATTCGGTGCCACCCCTCACGCAGATCCGCGGGGTCAGGGTCCAAAAACACAGGGATTTGCCACATTTCTGAAATTCGGTGCCACCCCTCACGCAGATCCGCGGGGTCAGGGTCCAAAAACACAGGGGATTTGCCACATTTCTGAAATTCGGTGCCACCCTTCACGCACATCCATCGCAAGGCGTGGTAACCCAAACTGCGAGAACTCCCTCGGCCCTTTAATCGCAAGGTGTGGTAACCAAGCCCGTAAACCATACACGTCTTACCAATCGCCAGGTGTGGTAACCCCTCTTGTGATCAGTTGGTTTTGCTGATTGCGAATCGGCTTCGCATGAAGTTTCGATACTGCTTCACGACAGCGCCAAGGCCTCATGACTTAGCTCTTCCATGGCCCATTCTCCGAGAGAGGGGGCCGGCGGCAGGGGGCGAAGCCCTTACGGATAAAAAGATGCATCTCAAGCCGAGGCGGCCTAACCACCAAGGCAATGTCATGGCAAGCTGACTGGCAGCGACTAGTAATGTATGTGGGACCAGACTGGCCGACCGAGGTCTGGAGCGGACCATCGGAGGCTCAGAAAAACCTTGGGGGCCGGGCAGACCCGAGGAGGCCTGGTCGTTGGGCAGCGGGCGAGGCCGACACCCTCCCATGCGCGGGTTCACCCCGAGCGGCGCCAGCGGAGGCACCGGACCTGGGCGGCAGGAGAGGGAGGAGGAGGCGAACGAAGGACGACGGAGAAAGGGAGAGGAGGAAACGACTGCACGCGCAAAGCGAGCGCTCGGGGCCCTGGGAGCGCGGGCGATGAACAAGTGAGCCGTCAGCTAATTCCACCTGGCCAACGGTCCATCCGGGGAGGGGTGAACAGGAGGAGGCAGGCAGAGACGAGGGGGCAGGGTAGCTAAATCGGCTGCTGCTGCTCGTACAGCCTGACCGCTCAAAACAGCGTGGCACAAAACTCCCCAGCGATCGTGCAAGCTGAACGGCCAGCGGGCGGAGAACCCTGTCAGATCTCACCTCGACCAGCCAGCCTGTGCTGGTTGCCCCAGTGACCGCAAGCAGAAGCAAGGAGGGAAGTGGACGAAGCAAAAATAAGAAGGAGG